TACATATATACACACACTCACACACACACATACATACATACATACACATACATACACACACACACACACACACACACACACACACACACACACACACACACACACACACACACACACACACACACACACATATATATATATACATACACACACACACACACACACACACACACACACACACACACACACACGTATATAAATTGTCAATATACACACACACAAATATATACTATATACATATATATATATATACATATACATATATATACATATATACATATACATATAAAAGTGGATTAAAATACTTTTCTAAATTATTATACATACATACACATACATATGAACATAGTAAACAAGTAAATAATAAGTAAATAATAAGTAAATAAATAGTAATAGTAAATAAAACAATAATGCATCAGAGTAAACTGTACATTTAATAATCAACATTATTGGATAAAACAATAATAAAAAAAATAACAATCAGTTTTTTTTACAACGTATAATATTTTCTTTAGGATTAATTTATAACAATCTAGAATTAGTTGTGTGCAGTGGCGTTTACTCAAACAGCAGCGCTCATTAGACGGATTCAGTTGAGATGTAGTGTTTGCTAATGGTAGGCCATGCTGTGTGTTTATTACGTCACATCAAATCTCATCCGTGCATTTAAACTGGAGAATTAAAAAATGTATTTACTGGATTAAACTGGTAATTTGTATTTTAGTTCTAAATACTTTATAAATTGTTCATTTTTAATGCACTGATCTCATTATGCAATGCTGTTCAGCTCTTCCTCTACTGTTATTGAGTTGCATGGTGGTAAGGACGGAAAATTAAAGTAAAATTGTAAAAAATGAAATGAGTTAATGATGCATAAAAACATTTGTTGTCATTAAATGTTCCACAGTGTACCGTTGTGACCTGAGCTCACGGATGTACATTATGGGATGATCACTGGGTCAGTTTTAGTCTGCTGTTATTGTAATAATAAAACATTCGTTAATTCTTTTTGGCTTAGTCTTTTTAACAATCCGGGGTCGCCACAGTGGAATGAACCGCCAACTTATCCAGCACGTTTTTATGCAGCGGATGCCCTTCCAGCCACAACCCATCTCTGGGAAAAAAAACAAAACATTTTAATTAAGTAAATTAAGATTAAAAGCAACTTTAACATAAGTGCTGTGATTTATTGCTCCACACAAGAACATAATATTCCTTAAATTTACTTAATTTCTTTACGGTAAGTGCTTGCAAGCAATTTATATTGGCTACATGTAAACAAACTAATTAAATGAAACAGTAGTAAATTTAATATGTTTGTTTAAATTCACCAATATAAACTGTTTGCAACCATTTACCCCAAAAAACTGAGTAAATCCAATGAATCATTAAATCACTACACATATATTTTTAAGTTACTTTAATTTAAATTGAATTATTCTTTATTTTAATTGAATTCCTTTCAATTTTACGCCACGCATCTCAATTTACAAACGAATAAGACTGACCTAATGATCAGCATCCCATAATGTAGATCAGTGCATTAACACATGGTACACCGTGAAACATTACATGACAACAAATGTTGGTATGCACCTTTTTTATCGTTTTATTTCAGGCCACAGTGTGCTCTTGTGACCTGAGCTGTGTTTCAATGCACCGATCTACATTATGGGCTGCTGATCAGCTCTTCTACTGTTATTGAGATGCGTAGTGGGAGGAGCAGCAGCTCTGCTGGACTTTGTCATGTAGAAATGATCAGGAGGAGGTTCAAGTTTCTGTGCAGCTGTGGATCCGCCTCAGGCCGTGACACACACACACACACACACACACACACACACACACACACACACACACACATCTCATTATCTCCAGGACAATCAGCCTCCCAGCGGCTCGTCTTTTGTTTCCTCAGGAGCCTGCATCTACAAACACCTCTATATAATGTAAGATTCTCCCAATATTGACTCGGGTTTGGCCACAAACAAGCAAAAACGGCTGATTTCACAACACCACTAGATGCAGGACGACTGCAGATATTTGGGAACTCTTTACTTTAAGGTGTCCCTTGTTGCACATATTGATAGTTTTTAGTCTTGTGACCTGTGCAGATACGTGGCGGGTAAATAAACAATGAGCCATAATGGCAGCTACACTGGAATCTCTAAAGAAATGCAGCAATATACTGAGCTAATATATCCATTTAATTCAAGCTATGACTATTTGAAGCACATATCAAAAGAATAAAACATAGATATGATTATATACTGCAAACTGAGGGCACTTGTGCTCCATATACTGCTGTTGTCAAGTCATTTAAATCCCTCACGTCCCTGTCAGAGCTATAATTCGATGATTTTCACCTTTATTTTGAGGATATTCCTCAGTTATTTAGAAATTATTGATGGCAATGAGCCGTAATGGCAGCTACACTGGGATCTCCAACGAAACGCAGCAATATAACGCGCTAATATTTTCGTTTATTTCAAGCTACCAATGTTTGTAGCCTGTATCAATGGAATAAAACACAGATATGATCATAAACTGTAAATTGTGGGCACTTGTGATCCATATACTACTGTTTTCAATCCATTTAAATCCCTCACATCCCTGTTAAAGCTATGAATCTGTGATATTTACCTTTATTTTGAGGATATTCCTCAGATATTTAGAAATTATTGATGGCAATGAGTCATAATGGCAGCTACACTGGGATCTCCAAAGAAAGCAGCAATATAAGGTGCTAATATTTTCGTTTATTTCAAGCTACGAATGTTTGTAGCCCGTATCAACAGAATAAAACAGAGATATGCTCATAAACTGTCAATTGTGGGCACCTGTGATCCATATACTGCTGTTGTCAAGTAATTTATATCCCTCATGTCCTTGTCAGAGCTACAATTCAACGATATTTACCTTTATTTTGAGGATATTCCTCAGTGATTTAGTCATTATTGATGGCAATGAGCCGTAATGGGCACTACACTGGAATCTCCAAAGAAACGCAGCAATATAACTCACTAATATTTCAGTTTATTTCAAGCTACGAATGTTTGTAGCACATATCATTGGAATAAAGCACAGATATGATCCTAAACTGTAAATTGTGGGCACGTGTGATCCATATAATGCTGTTTTCAATCCATTTAAATCCCTCACGTCCCTGTCCGAGCTACAATTCGGCGATATTTACCTTTATTTTGAGGATATTCCTCAGTTATTTAGTCATTAATGATGGCAATGAGTCATAATAGCATCTACACTGGGATCTCCAAAGAAACGTGGCAATATAACATGCTAATATTTCAAGCTATGAATATTTGTAGCACATATGAACAAAATAAAACATAGATATGATAATAAAGTATCAATTTTGGGCACTTGCGATCCATATATTTCACTCACAGCTGATTTTCAGTCAATTTAAACACTCACGAACCTGTCACAGATACAATTCAGTGATATTTACATTTATTTTGTGGATATTCCTCAATGATTTAGACAGTATTAGTGTGTTATATGGTGTTATAGTGTGGTATAGTATAGTTTGTTTTGCTTAGATTGATATTTGCTGGTAGAGAGAATACATTTATTCACTTCTGCTATTTGTTCTTTGACTTATACTTGCATGCTTTTAACCAGCAAATTAAAATCAAAACCGAATAAAAAGCTTACAAACGTACTGACAGATTACGAAAACTACACTAAAAACAAAACAAAGAAAATAGCCAATGTGAAGATCTTATGTCGTATTTTGATTAAATGGCAAAGTCAAACTAAATAAAAATAAATAAAAATCACTAAAGCAGAAACACACAAGATGCAGCAAAAAACACTGATTATACAACAACAACAAACAAATATCACAAAAACACCTTACAAAATGCAAACACACAAAGGCAACCCACAAAATGCAAAAACACTACACTTTAAATAACTCCCTGTAAAATCAACAGAAAGATGGAGGGGTGTGTGAAGCTGTTGTGTTATGATTTTATGGCGACGCGAGTGTATGAGTGTGTGAAGTGAGATTAGCACAGTAAAGGAGTCGGCAGATCGTCTGCTGTTGGCCTTGATAATGTAAACAGGTGTGGTGTGAAGGAGAGAATAAAGGAAGTGATATTACAGCTCAACAAATGCTGCAGATCCACCGCCAGTGTGTGTGTGTGTGTGTGTGTGTGTGTGTGTGCTTTACCAGATTACTGCAGTAATACCGCTGTAAGAGGAGCTTCACCATATGCTCTCAGCCACTGACTGACTGACCTACATACACACACACACACACAATCAACAAAACTACACACATACACTCAACAATAATACACACAGGACAAAACCACAACTTCACACTGTACTGTAAAACAAATTATATGATCAATGGGTCAAGATGAAGGCCGCAGAAAAACAGATTATTTCCTCAGATCGTTGAGCCTGACATTTAATCTATTTTATATATATATATATATATATATATATATATATATATATATATATATATATATATATATATATATATATATATATATATATATATATATATATATATATATATATATATATATATATATATATATATATATATATATATATATATATATATATATATATATATATATATATATATATATATA